AATTTGGCTCATTAGTGTTTAGAGCTTTTGATTTCTGAGAAAACTCATAACTCTTTCAATTCCGGGCCAAAACGCTCGATTTTGAGTGCATTGGCAAGCTGGAATGGTCCTCCAAATAGTTCATAATAAGACCACACAGCATGCTGGTCTGCTAAAAAAGATATCATCTTTTTTATACATTTGCACATACAGATCCATAGAATGTTTGTCATACTAGCTACATAGTTATTGATATTATGAAAGTTGAACGGGAGTTCAGCTTTCTAATGCACCTGAAATCAAGTGTTTTGAGGCAGATTTGACAAAGTTATGGGTGTTTTCAGAATTCAAAAGTTTCTCTAAACACTAATCAGCCAAATTTCAGTGCTTGTTACAGGTTGTAATTGGATGATTATCAAGGTTTATTGTTAGTACACTTATCAATATGGACTGTAAAAATACGGAGAAATATGGAGAGTGAAGCTCTCAATGCAGGGAACAAGATGCATATTTTTATTTATTTTTTGCCCTTCTCCTGGCCTCTCAATATTTTTGTATATCAATAATTTAATTTTCTGCCCAGAAAATATTATATTTCTTGTAGTGTGATTGGTTTTTCTGAACGTTCGTCCAACTCGATATCCTGAAATCAATATTCCTTTTCTTTGTCGTCAATATGATGCGTTGAAAGGAGTAGTTCCTTTTATTTTAGGATCTACGTAACTCCTTTATCTGGGATTTTCGAAATTTGAGCTCTTGTATATGTAACTACCCGACTCGTCGGTTCTGTAGTAGAACCTGCTCGACTGTTCAGTGTAATGTGTAAAGAAAAGGAGAGATTTGCTACTTTTGAGATTATAGAACACTGTACTTGTGAGTGTGTTTATTAAAAAAAATGGTGAAAATTGATATGAATTTTTTTTTGGAACAATCAATAACTTGGAAGAATATTTGTAATTATTATAATCCAGTTTTATGATTGATTTTAATGGGTGTTATGTTTGATATGAACTGAAATGAGTAAAAAGTTGGTAGTGACTTATCTTACTAGTCACTTTGTTATTATGTATTTTGTTTTGTGATATCTACTATTTCTTATTTTGTCTAGTTTATTATGAAATCTCACACTTTTGGTTAACAAAAGGTTATTTAAGGTTGAGGTTTTTGGGTTTCAACACGATGAGGCCCCCAAATGTGAGGGTTGGGTACTCAGTTGAGGACTCAAGGCTCACTAGATGGCTAAGGAAGGTTTGCAATTTTAATAATTATCTTTTAGATTTCAATTATAAAGTAATTACAATTGGAAATTTAAGAAAGAAAAGAAAGGGGGGAGAGAAGACTGGTCTGTTTGGATAAATCCAGACAGACTACAGTTAAATGACTCCTGAAAAGGAGATTTTAAATATAATTATAATTAATTATAACTGAAAACTGGATCCAAGGTTTTCCTTCAAACCTCTATTGACAGTATGAAGAGTGAGGTCTAGATCACTACACTGGTTGTTCTTATGGTCACCAACCTAAGTACTTATATATAGGCCACTACCCTGTGAGTTGTTGAAGGTCACTAACCTAGTAAATAATCTACTTGGGGAAAGTAGAGGATCCAGAAAATAGTTGAAGGGTGTATTACTTACTTTTAGTCAGGAACTGTTTAAAGTAGAGAAGTAAATCACTAGTCTTAATTTATAAGACCCTTGATTATGAACTTCTATATTACTTTAAAGATGTTCTTTAAAAGTGATGTGTAATAAAAGCTTGGGGATCCCTCTCTGAAGGCTGAGAGAGGAGGAGTTTATATACTCTCCTCTCCAGACCTAACTGTAGTGATATTTGTTTATATCACTGCAGTGGTTTAGGGTTTAATTATTACTGTTATTTATGATTATTATTAATACTACATAATTACATATACCTGTTATGTAATTTATGTAGTATAAGCATTTTTAACTCTTGACACTGAGTTATGAGGTGTTATGAGTGTTTTATTACATATTACATATGATTTTAAATGTATATGTATATGTAATTAGGTTGTATATACGGTTTATTACAAGTTACATATGTTTTGTAGGGTTTATGTACATGTAATTAGTTATCTAAAGGTGGTTATCTATGTTACAAGTTAGTCTTTGGGTACATACATATGTATCCAGGGCTGACAGCGTCGCCCTTGTTTTTTCGCCATCCGACCCTAACTTCATTTACCACTTCTCTAATATTGCCAGAATTGCGATTAACGCTGACATCGCTGCCAGACGCCCTGCCTACAAAATGGGTGGTGTTCCCCCTCCTCCCGGAGAAGCTTTGTCCTGCGAACCCGTGGTTCTCAATGCGTCGTATAGGATCCCCAATGATAACATCGTATTCTATCGAATGCCGTTTGGTCTCTTTGACGTCGGTAAAGAAGTCTCTACTCCCCCTTCTGTGGGTGCTCCTTCAGCCAATGTCGAGCCCATTTCGGCACTTCCAGCCTCGGTTCCTACTGCATCTGGCAGTAACCTGCCGGCTCCCGGACGTCTGCGTTCCTCCAAGGCCAGATCTCGTTCGCCTTCTCCTCGAAGACGTTCGCGATCTCCAGTTCCTCTGGCCTCTAGAGTCGGTCCTAGGGTGTCGAAAGGTCGCTTTACCAGCCCTCTGCGCCGTGTCTTCAGGTCCAGCCCGGATCGTTCCAGGTACTCTCGGGGCAATTCTCCTAGGTTGCCTCCAATTTCCTCTTCAAAAGGGAAAGACTCTCGTCCCCTTCGGGAACGAGTGGATTTCATCCCTACGGGCCCTCCTCCGCCTCCAAGAGCCTCTTCGGGTTCCAAATCAAAAGGAAAGGCTCGACGAATTTCACCAACTCCTCCGTCATCCAGTGTTTCCAGTTCAACTGCCAACAACGGCCTGGACGATGTGTATACCCCGGTTCCTGGTTCAAAGAAACCTCGACTATTCGCTGCTCCTATTAAGGAATTGGTGGATTCCAAAGCTTCTCCTTTGGCTCGAGCCATTCAGCGTCTTGTCACGACTTACAAAAGCGACATTGATCACCACACTGACCAGTTTAACTGCTCGCCAAACAAACCTACCAGTTGGCCTGTGGCTCTCACCAAAGACCTTCTCAAGTACAAAGTCATCGACCTCGAAAAACTTTGGGGAGCTATGTCTTCTTCCCCTTTGGCGGAAATTTTTATTTTCGACAAACGGACCAAGAAGATGGACGTTAAAGGCGTCACCGATTCTTTGGAGATCCAGGATTTATCGGACTTTACCCAAATCATGGAAGTTCTTCGCCATGCGTATTTGGCGGCGTTCTATATCGCCGAGGTTCCTATTAAGGCCTACTTTAAGCAAATCTCAAGTCTCTGTCGCCATCAATCCAAAATTCATTGGTCTCACGTGCGGAATTATGATGCCGAAATGCGTCAAGAATTCTCGCATCGACCTTCTCTGGCTTGGGGAGATTTTGATGCTCCAGAACTCAAGATTTTTGAAGGAAGAAACCTTCATGTCAAGTATGTGGCTCCGACGGCTTCTCCCAAGAAGTTTTTGACCTCGTCCTCAGGTTACCAACCTGCTCCGTCTCAACCAAGGGCCTCCTCTAGCAGGAAGGCACCTTCAGCTCCTTCAAAGCCCAAGAAAGCTGGTTCGAAAAGAACTAAGCGGGACTTTCCTCCTTACGAAATTAAGGACGCTACTGATGTGGCTATTAAAGATCAACCTTGTAATAATTGGAACGCTAATGTGTGTCCCTTCTCAGACGACGACTGCAACCGAGCCCATCTCGTATGCAACAAGTTGGGATGCTTCGGTAATCACCGCGGAAGCGTCGCTCACCGACGAACCTAATGCCAGAAAATTCTTTAGGAACATGGAAATCGACGCGCTTTGGGAAGGTTTCTCATCTTCGGTGGATTTTTCTATCACGGCCGATCCTCTCCCTTCTGCTCCTCCTCTCGAATCCGACATCTTTGCTGCTAGAGCCATTCGCCGTAGTCCTGAGATTTTCAAAATTGTTACTCCCATCAAGGTTTCTCGCCTATCTCTTCTTCTTCGTAATCATCCCAACCGTCCTTTCGTCGATTCTGTGATTTTGGGTTTGACGGAAGGATTCTGGCCAGTCTCCGAAAAGCCTTCGGATGAACCGGTTTTCTACCCGAATCAAATTTCTAACAAGGAAGATGAACTCTCGTTAATTTCTTCCCGAGACAAGGAACTTGCTTTAGGTCGCTACTCTCCCGGTTTTCAGAGCCTTCTTCCTGGAATGAAGGTCTCTCCACTCTGCTTAGCTAAAAACGCGGTTACTGGTAAGGTCAGGACTTGTACAAACATGAGTTTTGGTAGTCCCTCCCCAAATAGCCTTATTGAGCGTGCCAACATCAAAATCAAGTTAGACAGCATTGCCTCCTTCACGCCATTCTTAGTCAAACGGCATTATATGCAATTGACGTCGATACTGTGGAAGTCTGACGTGGATTCGGCCTTTCGAATCCTCCCGGTTTCTCGCCAGTGGCAGTATCGCCAGATCGTTAGGATTAACAACGCATTCCACGCAGACCGCTGTGTAAATTTCGGTTGTTCGAGTTCACCCAAATTATGGTGTTCTTTCTTTTCGCTAATCCTTTGGATCGCATATTATGAGTTTGGTATCACGGAACTTAATGCTTACATGGATGATTCTTGGGGTGTGGCCTCTGCTTATGATTTAGTTCAATTTAAAGGACATGTCATTCCTCTCAATCAGGCCAAATTCCTCGAACTCTTCAATTACCTCAACATCCCCTGGGCTTGGGGTAAACAAGTCTGGGGTTCGGAATTGGACATCATTGGCCATACTATCAATTGCGATTCTCTATCTATTTCCCTTCCTTTAGATAAGAGATTAGCGCTAATCAAAGCTCTTCGAGTCTTTATCATCCCATCTTCCCAACCCTTGGTTGCTTGGCAGCGTATCACGGGTTGGGCCAACTGGGCGGTTTATACGTTTCCTTTGGGCAGGTGGGCTATCCAATCCTCTTGGGATAAGATAGCTGGCAAAACTTTGCGCAATGCGCAAGTTCCCAGAAACAAGGCCGTCACTGAAGATCTTACTTGGCTGGCGGACGCTCTTGAAGCCTGGTCAGGTAGGAAAATCCTCAGCAATATCTTCTGGAATCTGGAACTTGCGGACATTACTTTCATCGTCGATGCCTGCCCTACGGGCATCGGTTTATGGTGTCTGAAACTCAATGCAGCCTGGAGCAAGAAGTTCCCTCCCCCATCTCGGGATAACTTTTGGGCAGAACTTCTAGCGGTGGTAACCTCGATTGACATTGCTTCCAGCATGAATGTCAAGCACATTGTAGTTTTCTCAGATAACGCCTCGGTAGTGGCCCTGTTTAGTTCACATAAACCGATCGGGTCTGCTCGTCTCTTGTTCAGGCACGCCGTTACCGTCATGCTCAGGGACAGTCTCGATGTCAAAGTAAGACATGTCGCAGGTGATCGTAATGACATAGCAGATGATCTTTCTCGCGACAGGCTTGACGACGCTCGTGGCAAGATTCCTTCTATCAATCATTCATTCCTCCCTCCGACGGACCCTTCCTTCGACGGTGGTATCAAACCTCATTCCGATTTTCTTTGTCCCAATGCCAGCCGTTCGCACAACGACAAATTCCAACACGACGCCGCTCTCTTTCTCTGAAAGAGAGGAACTCAATCGGTATCATATTGCCCACCGTCTGGAAACTTCGACTATCAAAAAGTACCGTTCTGCTTTTCGTCGTTTTGAGAAGTTTTGCACCAATCATGACATTCCAGTCATTCCCGAAGAAACGACTTTAGCCCATTTCGTTTCGGTAACCTGTCTTGAGCTTTCTCCAGGAACTGCCAATAAGTACCTTACAGGTATAGTCTTCTGTATGCGCGATGAATTCCCCTTTGCCGTCGAAGCTAGGAATTCTAGGCGTGTGAAACTGTCTGTAGAAGGTTGCCGTAAACTTCTTTCGGTTCCTACTGTTCAAGCCAAACCTTTCACCTTATCCGACATTCATCTTTGCGCTTCGACATTCAACTCTTCCTTTGATGACCAACTATTCAACCTCATAATCGCCCTTGGCTTTGCAGCCTTACATCGTCTTGGGGAATTGGTTGACAGCGATTCCATCGATTTATGCTCTTCTCGTCAAACCATCCGTCGTGCTTCACTGTCCATCTCCACCTGTGGTTCAGCCGCCACTTACACCCTACCCTATCACAAAGCAGATCGTTTGTACTCTGGGTCCCCCATTGTCATTCTAAAACGTGATAAGGATCCCGCTTGTCCAATCCTCACTCTGATCCCCTACACAAAAAATCGTGATCTCCGGTTTCGAAGTAATCCTTATTGGCTTCTTCGCGAAGACGGTACAATTCCGACACGCTCTTGGTTCATGTCTCGTCTCAACTCCGTTTTCAATGGTTCTCGCACTGGTCACTCTCTTCGTACGGGAGGCGCTACTGCACTAGCCCAGGCGGGTATGCCCATGGAAACTATCCAATGTTTGGGAAGATGGTCTTTGGAAGCTTATCGAACATACATCCGAAATCATCCTCTGATGAACATGTTTGCCACCCGCCTCCATCCTATCTTATCTGGCGCTACATTGGGAGAACAGATCAAATTTCCTGGCTCCACTTTCGTGAGTCCAGTACATCTCTTCGAGATTTGTTCAAGGCATCGTCTAACTTTGTTCTTTCCCTTTTCAGTCCCGTGTAGCAACACAGACTCAAGGATGATATTCTGGTTAAAAGCCTAATATACCAGCGTCGGGTGAGTAGTGTTTACTACCTCATTTGTAATTCTCGCTGACCTTGTTGTGTTTGATTTAGTTCATTCCAGACAAACCTCTCCTTCTGTGTTTCAGTAGGAGTAGGTTCCTTCTTAGCGTTTTGTGAGTAGTTCCTCTACTTCACTTGTAATTCTCGCGTACTCACCCTTGTTGTCTTGTCTTAGTTTCGATTCATACAATTATAGCTCTCTGTTCTGCTGTCAGTTCAGTTTGCTCCCCAGTCAGTGAGTGGTATCTTTGCTAAAAAGAAATAGCAGCGCTCTGTACTGTGTCTGATAAGGCTGTTACCTTGGCTCTCCGTTTAGAGATTCTATGACCTTCTACCCTACTGCAACCGTGGGTTGCTCTTCATCAATAGTTCTTATCCTACCATCTACGGTCATATTCTTAGTGGGTGGTAGGGTCTCAGGTTCTTACACTGCAATCTGCTCAGGCCCTCCGGGGTCGTCCAGCGTTTTAGCAGTAATCAATTCCTATCTTTCGAAACAGAGACTCTCACGTGCCAAACCTCTTCCTTGTAAGTTGGAACGGGTTTTAACTAAGGGGAATAGGTGCTCTGGCTTAGTGGGATCTGTGAAATCCGAAAGATGCTGTGCGAGTTGATTTCATCTTCTCTAGATCTTATGACGTATGGTAAAGAGCTCTTTGTAACGGTTTTCAAGAAAAGCTTATTCTTCATATCTTGTTTCTGCGATTTGCAAAGTTGTTCTTTACTTAGTTCTCTTTTATCATTAAAAGTTTCATCCATTCTATTATCAACAAAAAACTATACTTATTCCTCTCGTATTTTAGTTTAAAATATCTTAGTGTTTAAGATTTTTTTGTTTCCCACCATCCCTCCCTTTATGTTGTAGCTTTTTTTTTGTATTGTAGTGTTAGTCACCCCTAGGGTCTCAGGTTCTTACACTGCAATCCGCTCAGGCCCTCCGGGGTCGTCCAGCGTTTTAGCAGTAATCAATTCCTATCTTTTGAAACAGAGACTCTCACGTGCCAAACCTCTTCCTTGTAAATAACTGGGAAGTGATCAAAACTATTGTTCATCCAGAACTGCCTTTTCTCAAAAAACTCACAGTATCTTATCTTGATGACAGGGATTCAGAGTGGACTGAGTCAGACTTTCTCCAGTATCTCATCATATGTATATGTTAAAATTGATACATAACCTGATCTAAGCCTCATGAATTTTCTACTTCTTTCCCAGCTATCTGCCAGTTATATTCAGAGAAGAAGCTGATAACTTTCACATTTGCTACTGCCATAGATGAGATGACTCTCAATCTCTAGATCTTCAATGATGATTCTTTTCAATCCTTCCATAGATTTGTGCTCTCTGTTTTACATTTTGGTGTGCTTAATCATTATATGGCAAGGACCATTGGTCAACAAAATGAAAAACCTGACATAGGAGGACATAGATGAAATTTGGGATTCTTCAAAGATCAAACGCTTGATTGATTGAACCACCAATATATTTAGTTATGGCGGCAAATTTCGGTAAAAGCATGTGGTGCGCTATAGTTTCATAACATTTGTTCATTGTTCTTCAAAAACTTATCCCTTTTATACTAGGTTAATTCATTGTGCAAAAACAGTATCTCCTCTTTCTGGTAGTTTTTGTATCATGATTCTCTGGATTGAAAATTTGTGTTTTCAGAGTGATTGAATCTCTTAGGAAACATCCTCCAAAAATTTGGATGGTCTCTTGGCTAAAATCCCAGGCCCTACTGTGTGCCATATCTTTCATATAGTGAGGTTTTTTGTCTTGATGCATGTGCTTGTCATATATTTATCAATTAAGTAATCAAAATTTTCTTTCATCCATAAAGTCTCATCCTCTAATTAATTTTTCCAAACTTGGTATTCTTTCATGAGGAACCCCAGGAGAGTGAGTGAAGCGGCTTCAAGTGTAATACAATTATATGTTTTGGAGATTTATAGCATTTTGAGTTATGACTACTTGTCTTCATATCTTGGTAGGGATGCAGGTTTCTGTGTATTGTATAAGGCACAATAGCCTGCTTTTCATCCGTCATATTTGTGAATGGTATAATGATTATTCACTTTCTGCTATCTGGTATGTGAATGCTCAATCTCTGTCCGACCATCACACACCTGGGATCACAACGGAGGCTTGTACCACTGAGTTTGTATGCAGAATTCATGACCTTTCAAAGCGTATCACTCCGCTCAAGAAGACAGACAAAACCTTCAGTTTATGGGAAAGAGATTTAAAGGCTATGATAGGCAGTATCAGTGGGACATCTGACTACTTTCAACACAAGTTGCACAAGCTCCATCCAAAGTTCAATCAAGCAGTTTTCAATCTTATATATAACTGGTCAATTGACAACAAACTCCAACAGGACTTTATGATTGAAGGGTCCGCTGGAGACACCTTTCAAGTCTTGGCAGCACAGTTCCAATCAAATCCTTTGACTCAATGTATGAGGGGTCACACAGATTTCCCAGAAGAAATTCTAGCAAACATTGTGGATATAGTTTACCACCAATCTTCTCAAGAGCATGACTCTATCAAGGAAAGAAAAGGGAGCATATGATAAGAAAGCCACACAAAGATTACAAATACCTATTAGTATACTGGGATCATTCTGGTTCACCAATTCTCAATATCTTACAAACCCTGGCCGTGGTCAATCAAAGGTTTTATAGGCTTTGTCTTCCTCAATTATGGTGGTATGGATAGTTTTTACACAGGTTCCAAATTGGGTCTAGATATCAACTTGACAGGGGCTGATTCATTTTATCTCACAAATCTATCAGCACATTCAATTTCTAAGCACCCTCCCTGCTCCTGCGTCAATCTGGACAGATGGTATACTTTTGAATTGTGGGAACCTAGTAAAGACTTTGAAACTCAAATTGCATGATTTGTCTGGCTATGGCAATGCAGAGGCTTCACAAATGAGCAAGAGTGTTGAGGATAACACATTGCCATTTGACACATTCAAAGACCTGACAAGACATGGAATTGGACTGGTAAATATCAAGAAGATTTTCACTGCTTTTCCTGGTCTAGAGTTGGTAGTAATTGATATTCCAGCAGATTCATATGACTCAAACTCGTTTACTCTGATTTCCTACGGCTTGACACCTCTATTGAGACTCATCCCGCATGTTCAACGGTTAGAAATAAACTAGCCGGATTGGGCGGCGGGCGCCACAGTTGTAAGATGGACCCCACTGAACTCAATCCACATAGGATGCTGGATCATATGCTTGTGCCAAAATCACTCAAGCAGAGAAGCTTTGTCATAGTTGTTTGAATGCAAATGTAGCAGAATGTATCATTACAATCTAAGAGATCACTTTGTCCATTATTGGTAACACGATGCTAGCCCAAGAATGTTAAACAGTTAAGGCAACTAAAAATGAAACAGATCAATCTCAGAGAGGGCTGTTATATTGTTTCTGCTGGTAGCATGTGGCTTACAGCAAGTAACAGGAAAGTAATGAGGCAGGGCATGGTATGTAGGCCATACTGGTTGTGAGGTCTAATTACAGTGAGATCCAGGATTGGGAAGAATGATGATGGCTTGGAGCAGAGGGGATGTCATATACTGTTGGAGAATGGTACAGATATCTGTGCCCTAACACAAACCCCTGACCTCGAACCCCCTAATGGTTTCAAGATCAGAGTACATCAATTATCATTTGGTCTCAGTCTATCATATATGGAGGGTGGCGCAAGAAGAGCTCAGGAGAATGGCTAGAGAGACGCAACAACTAATACGGTGGGCTCTCAAATATCAAGTCAAGAGTGATTATGTTTGGCGGGAATTTACACTGTCAGATGGTAAGTTTTCTTGTTGAATGGCTTCAACTTCTGCATTCAGTTCAACTATTTATTATTTGACGTATAGATGAGAGCAAATCTAAGGCTATCAAGTGTTTATACTGCCCGTTGGTCCAAAGAACTAGTCGTTTGTGGATGTTGTGGGATCAAGGTTTGGAAGAGGCACTTCAGTGGACAGCGCAGTACTTTGATGAAGCTTGTGATTGGGACCCACAGCTTCTTTCTCACTGGAAGATGATGAGGTCTAGAACCATGCTTCATTGGGCTGAAGTTTGGAGTGAAGTTGTTGATGTGCCATTGATTGCGGTGGAGTCAAATGGCAACTGATTATTGGCAACTCTCTTGCGGTTCTGATAGCTCAAAATCAATGTACATTGTGAAATTCAATAACTTTCCTAACAATTTTATGTATGATCACTGCCAAGATGATCTGACCAAATATGAATCAATCACAATGAGATCAAAAATCTTTGCCTGTGTTACTGAATCTTTGACCAATGCACGCTACGAGTGACACGAGTAACTCTAGAGTTCATTGAATTTTCCTGCTCCTGTACATCTTTCTTAACCAGTCGACCTCGTTTACGTGTGTTTGGTTGCCTGACAGTATGTTGGAGTGCAATCGACATAAGGTAAAAATCACTTAGACTTAATATTGAAATGACGTATAGAGCAAATGATGTATGGCAGATTGACTGTAACCCCAATTAAATAACGGGTGGGAGAAAATTACACCGGGTGGTTTACACCCATATTTTCGGTGTAAACACGACTTGGTGTAAAATTATAAATAACCCCGGTGTTTTTATAATTTTACACTGACTCACATTTTTTGTAGTCTGTGTAATGTATTGCGGTGTAAGTGAGACAGTGTAAAAGTCGTGGACCCGGCGGTAATATTTAATTTTACCCCGGGTATTTTTGTTTCTTTTCCACCGACTTATACAGTGTAAAAATATTGAGGGGAAAATTGTCAGATAGGGCTCCGAGTTAGAGTTTTGCACCGGGTTTGTTGACACCGGGTTCCCGGGTGGAAAACTGTACGGGGTAAAAGTACCACAGTACCCTTGTAATATATAATTTTACACCTCAATGGTTTCCACCGACAGTTTGACGCATTACTTCCACGAACATATCAATTCGTCAAGATTTCGATCATTTCAAACCATGATTCAACCCGATATTGGACGTAAATACCTGATATCGAAGCCTAAAATGACCAAATAATCATTCATCATTGCCCACGAGAGTGGAAGAAGGGTTATCATGATATCATTGACACGTAAAACCAGTCCCTTCTCTTTACCATTCCTCTTTTCATTTCCCTTTTCGTCTTTTTTCAAATTTCCTATGACATTATAACATCAAATCATCAAATTACCTATTTGCCATTATCACATCCTTGTCTCATTGATCAGAATGGGTCAAAATATATCACGCGACGGAGCAGACAATGCTCTAACAGATCGATTTGATTCATCGTATAATTGCAAAGATCCTCCTTCCAGTTATCAAATCAACACTATTACAAGAAAACCTTTTGATTGTATTCCAAGAACACCGCGACAAATCAGATCACAATGTTACTCGATTTCACCTATCAAGTCTCCGGAATCTGATCTAGTCACAATGACTGATTCAGATGTTGAACCAAACTTGTATCATGATCCCTCACCCCCTTCTGATACAAAAAAGAAGGTCAAGAAACGTCAACATCGAGAACATCAAGAAAAATTATTGAATGAGAATGAACCTGACTCACCTCTTAAATCCGCAAACTCTAAGGCAAAAAAGCGCAATAAGAGGAAGCATCAACCGTCCCCGGATGAGCCATCAGAGTCACCTCCACCATCTCTTTCGAAAGAAAAAAGTAAGAAAAAAAAGAAGTCGAAATCCAATTCAACATCTGAACACAATCCTGTTAGCTCTAATCCTCAACAACCTGATAGCCACGAAGCTGTTAACCGCCCACACCTTCGGATTCCCTCCAAAAAACACCAATTCGAGACATTCATCGACTATGGCTGTGTTGTCGACGAGCAAAACTACCCGATTTACCCCAATGGAGACACGGTTTTCGTCTTGGAACCCAAAGCCAAGGTTACCAACTTTGGCTATGTTGCTTGGACACACACGATGAAAACGGATACTTCGAACGAAGACTGGAAGATATTGAGATTTACCTGTCTTGGAGTGATGAAGTGCTCAAACTCTTCTTGTCGATTTGCTGGGTCACCTCCGACTGGGTACAAGATGATTGAAAAACTTCTAAATCAGTAAGTTTTTCCTTATTTATTTCATTCTTCTTGTTTGTATAAAAGACTTACCACCACTCTAATATTCAAACAGAGGCACTGTGTGTCCCATTGACGACCGTGACGGCATCCAGGAACATGTTGAATGTAATGCTAAATGTCGATTTGACGAAGAGTACAACACCGGATGGAGTATACTGCGACACCAAGGCGAACACAAGCATATTTGGCCCAATGCGAAAAAGGCAGATCCTCTATCAAAGGCAAAATTGAAAGAAATCATCATCAATGACCCAACAACTGGTACTTTGGGTTTAAAGGTACAAGATTTTTCTTATTTGGTATACAGTCAAACCCGCGCACATGCATACCCGCGCACATGCATAACCAGCCAAAATGCATAAGTTTTGGTTTCCACCCAGCTGGTGCGGGCCAATTTTTTCATTAATTGCATAATTATGTCAAAAACCATAATGCATACTTCTTTTCAAGTCCCCAAAGTCATAATGCATGCCTACAAAGCGCCCCAGGATGTGTTTTTTTTCCATTGAACTCTGATCAAATCCTTTGCAAGTAGGATTTTGGCAACATCAGGCAGCAATGAGCCCTCTATGGGGTCAAACCGACCCCTAGTGGTGTTTTTTTCGGTGTCAAAAAAATATCTTGTCCTTGTACCCGCGCAAAATACAAACGTACTATTGCATAAACTTATACAATTTCAACAAAAACCCGTCATAATAGGGATTGGGCGGACACTGCTTGTTGGTGTCCCAAGCTGCAGTTCAAATTCAATTCAATCCAAAAATGACTGGATATCAGCCACTGTTCAAACGATATCAAAGCCAGCGATTTTTATTTTTCATTTTTTTGGAAGAAAAAAAAGCTGTGTGGCGTGACAATAAGAGCAGCATCCCTCTTGAGCCTACTCGCCTACACCAGCTTAAAAACACTCGTCCGGCCAAACAAGCAGCCTTTTCAAAAGCCTCTTTGTTTGGCTGGCTTAATTCCTGTCACAGGTATCCGCCGGGTAGCTCAGTAAAATGAATCAGGTGAATCAGTGACATCTATTTTGATATGAGTAGCCAAGTTCTGACAACTTCGATGGCGCCAGATCTGCTGGCTACAACTCGGTCGAACTTTTTGCCCAATCCCTAATGCATATTTCAATGCATTTAGGCCAATATGCATACAAATATGCATTATGGGGGTTTATGCCTATTTGCATAACCCGCAATAATGCATAGCAAAAATTGTCTCCCCAATTTATGCATTAGCGCGGGTTTGACTGTATTGAGCAAGTGCTGACATTAATTCCACCATAGGTTGGACGTGCTCATGTAGGAACGGCTCCTATTCGAACAGTGGTGGATATACATCCATCCTTTGGACATATTGACCGCTTAGGCTATCTTCGGCGGTATTTCCTGGTACAAGAAGGCTTGATGACTGATTCTGCGGACCCAGACGGCGGTGATAGATGGCTCCATCAACTGATTTATTGGACCACGTACGTCAAGTTCAATCCTTTGCCTTTTGATTGATCTGTATAAAAATCCCATGTTTCTCTCGCCATTACCATTTTTCCAATTTCAGCAATGGAATGCGCATAGTGTCCGCCTCTTTCAATATTGAAGACATTCATTTCTCCTTCCAGAGTAATTGGATGGCCGAGGTTCTTGTACTAGAAGACAACGGCAAATCTTATGAAGGCGGCCTTTTATCCGATGTTACTTACAGGTTCTTTAATCATGGCTACCTACTGACGACTTCAATGTACTGCGAAAAACTTGAACGATTTGTACCAGTCCTTCTATCGTGGATTAATGGCCTCTCTAAAGCTCATTACAAGGTTCATTTCAAAACATTATTAGTCCAGATCAGCACGACCTCAAAAAGTGATAAACAGAAGAGAAGATTATGCGAACAAGTAGTGGATTTCTCTCAAGCTCAAAAGGTTGGATTCATGGAGGCATATATGGAAGTATTTGACGTGGATAGAGACAAAGCTCTGTCAAAGTTGCATGGCTGCAAGCAGCATTTCAGCCAGGCCATCACTCGAATCAAGAACAATTGCAACATTGTCCGATTTGATCTGAAGGTAGGTTTTTGTGTTTTTTTTTTCACTATTTGTTTCAAAATGATTGATTTCGTTTGCATTTTTAGGACATTTGGGTGGAAAAATGTATGGCTTTACTGGAACCCAACACTCTGGGAAAAACTCTGGACGACAAGTTTGCCAAGTTGTACTTTACATTTCCTAACGCAAAGAGATGGCTTGATTGGTGGTGCATCGCCGATACCCAATCTATGTTGTTTCCTGGTCGCAAGAGAATGCCCTTGGATGATCCGCCTTTGAATGCCGACGAAAGCAAGGAGGACGAACCTGAACCTCAACGTCGAAAAGGATCAAACAACCGCCCGGAATTGCATTCAACTACAAACGGGCAAGAGTCAATGCATAGGGTGTACTACTTACTATGGTATGTAATTGGGCTATCTTGTTATGTTTTTCTTATTTATTTTGGGTGATGCAAAGTTTTACACCGGGTGTAATACACCCATAATCTCGGTGTAAACACCAATTTACACCAACACTGTCGGTGTAAACTCCAATATCTCGGTGTAAACACCAATTTACACCAACACTGTCGGTGTAAACTCCAATATCTCGGTGTAAAAATACACCCAGTGTATTTATACTTTTACACCTTAACACCCGATTCCTATTATTATAAATATTTTTTTTTTTAAATATTGATCTTAACACCCGATTCCTATTATTATAAATATTTTTTTTTTTAAATATTGATTTTTTTAAATATTTACTAACATTTTACATTTTTCTTTCAGTAAAGGGAAATGTGGCGTCATTCCAGGCTTGATACAGCTTCTAGCTTTCGTGCAAAGCTTGGAACGAGATTTCCATAACACCCGGATAGGTGTTTTGATTACTTACGGTTCGTCACAAAAAAATTGGGAGGAGCTGGTCAAAGGCTTAAAGATGAAGAAGCCGACCAAACGACGCTACCTTGAAAACGACGGCCGACCTCCGGATACTACCGATGAACTTCTTGGTAATATCAAGACCAAGAGCGCTAAAGGCCGCGCTAAACAAGTGGCTAAAGGCCCAGGCCGTCCGAGGGGCTCGCAAAACATCAATCGAGCCCCCTTGACAACTTATCAGTCGTATACTAAAGGTATACAACCTGGAACTAAGAACAGGTGTTGGCAAAGTGCCACACTGGAGTCTCTCTACGCGCTATTTGGACCTCTGTGGAGCCTCAATGCTTCAGTCAACGGCACCGGTCTAGTCCATCTACTTTATAATCACCTAACCAAGCGAAGCACGGCCCAACTTGAAGGGAAAAACCTTTCCAAGTCGCTTTCAGCACACCAGAACACGATTCACAAGGCGCTCACAAAACTGTCTCCCACATCTTACATACCGGATCAATTTGCATCGGCTGACCAGTTTATGGAGAAACTAGTCCATCCTGGTCCCAACTCTCTTAGACCCTTCTTTGAAATTCCGATTGTCAAGACTTACTCCTGCCCTGTGAATGCCGGCCATACTTATTCAAAATCATCTTCAATAGCTTGTATCCAGATATTTCCATATAAATTTGTCGAAGCTGGACTGTCTTACGGCGATTTAGGACAATTGATTGATCAAATGACCACTGACGGTATCTCAACGGACAGTGGTCTGGTCTGTCGACGATGTCATCCAGAAACCAAAGAAGAAAAAGATGCATACATCGATGCCGACATAGTATTGCTGTCAGCCTGAGTCTACAAAGTTGGACTGAAACTGAATGAAAAAGCGTACTTAGAACAGTATCGAGTTGGTGTTGGCTTTGTTACAATAAAAGGTTGTCTTTTACTGAAGTAAATTCGAGCCTACGAGTTAAAGGTCAGGTAATGGTTAGCTTTGTTCTTCTGACTTAGACAATAACAAGAATGAGTACTCACGTTTTAATATAATCAATATATTTTCAACGGGTCTTCTTCAGGAGGTTACGAGTAATCCTTCCTCAGGGTGAGTCCGTAAGTTCTACTTCTGATATCTAGAATGTAAATTCTTTATTAATCAAGAAGGTCTGAGAACTATATTCGACTAGGTTGAGTTTTAAGAGGTCACAAGAGAATCCAAATAGCTCTTAGCTTTTGTCGGAGTAGCAACGTGACGTAGATAACAGGGGATTGCGAACCGTGAGAGAAGATGATACAAGCTAGAATCGTAACGGACAAGTTATGAAATGCTTAGTTTGTATATATTCTGCTCAAGGTAAGTAATTTGGTTATAAGGGTTTAAAATGTTGCTTTTAAAGGTAAAGTTGTTGGTGATAGTAAAGGATGATTCTTCTCTCCTTGGTTCGAAATCGTAGGGGTATTTATATGAGTCCGTACTTCGTACGTGACTGTTTCTATTTCGTAACAAGCTGGTTTACTAGTCTGGTCAGGGTTCGAATAATAGTTTGCCCTGACTAGCTAGTTTCTAAGGGAACTTTTGTCGTTTCGAACGTTCAGTCAGGGTTCTTATTATTACGATGGCTTGTCCTTGTCTACTTTACTTTTGTAACCATTATGGTTCTTTTCGTATGTGTCTTCTTTTTTAGTTGTTCACTCTTGATACTCGAGTGTGAGATGTGGATAAAAAACCGACCAGGGTTTTATTTTTAAAAAAGATATGTTTTATGTTTTATTCTTGTCTTCCTTAGGGGTACGTGTAACTATCCTCTAGGTTGACAATTGCTATCACCTGCTTCAGAAGCCCGAAAAAAAAAGGACCTCACGACTCTCAATCTAAATCAGAAGATCAATCTGTCTGATGCTAAGGCAGCACCGTTGCATCTATATTTTCTTCTAGAAGGTGTTGGAGGAATGGAGGGTGAAGCACGCGCCGAATTCCAGGACAAGACCAATTGGCCACCACATATTATGGTTGGAGAAGTTGAATACTTTATGATGAAACGTGGGTATTGGGCTGGTTTTCACTATTGGTGTAAGGTAGTGCGGTCTATAGAGGGAGTTTTGGGAGTATGGCATTATGATGAGGCTCAGAATGGTGGTTTTGCTCAACTTCTAGACCGTGATGTGGAAAAATCACAAATAGGTGATGTGATACATGGTATGATGAAGAAGTTTTCCAAACTAAGTCATTTAATTCCTTTCTCGATGCCCTCGGACAGATTCCCTGTAGGAGGTGGTCTGCCACAAGATGAAGACAATGCCGAAGCAGCCGCTAATGAAGAACACAATAACAAACATGATGTAGATTTGAAAGTGGAAGCAGAAGAGGAAGTTGACGAACTTAAGGAAGAATCACTCAAAGCTCAGGAACTCGAAGACAAAGCAATCATTGAAGAATTGACGTCAAGCCCTGTTGTTCAGCCTCCTCCTCCTCAGCATTTCAAAATCAAGGTCAAACTGGCTGCACGAGAACCAGAGAAAAACCAAGATGGTGAAGGGCCTACCAGTACGGAAGATGTGAAGCCACGTAAGTCACTTACTCGAAATCATATCTTTGTCTTCTTACTGACAGCATTTCCTTCTGATTCAGTCAAAAGGACTCAACGTTTGAAGAAGGCTATTGTTGACGAAGAACATGTTAAACCTGTAAAAGCCATCAGAAAAAAAGGTGGTAAAAAACGCTGATGTGTCCTTTCCTTTTTTCAATTTTTATTTTTATTTTTTTGGATTGAGTCTTTCTTACTTTTGTATTTCTAGATTTAATTATTTCTCTACAGTCATTTCTGATATCATTTTATCTCCTGATTTATCTTCTTTATATTTATTCTCTACTGTCATTGCTGATTTTATTTTATCTCTGATTTTATTGTTTGCGTCTCCTTTCTGCTTTTGTGTCTTTTATTTCTTTCTCTTCTGTTGTGATTAGAGATGGTCATTTCCCTTTTCTGTTTTATGGTTATCTCTGTTTTTCCTTATTTTTTTTCCGTCCTCATTGTTATAAATGCTGTAATTAAAAGATGGTCATTTGGTGCGAAGGTTGTGTTGGCTGTATGGGGTCCTTTTTGGTTTCCCCGTAGTCAGTGTAAAAAAAACAATACATACGGTGTAAAATTCGAATCTGGAGGGTTGATTTTCAATTTCTCCACTGGGTTCTTCACACCGTGCTTTTCGGTGTAAAATTCTTACACCGTAGAAGAATGTTATATTTTTGCACCGTGTTAATTTACACTGTATTAGTCGGTGGAAAAGAAACAAATATCCCCGGCGTAAAATTAAATATTGCGGCCGGGTTCACGACTTTTACACCGTCTCACTTACACCGCAATAAATTACACAGACTACACAAAATGCGAGTCAGTGTAAATTTATAAATACACCGGGGTCATTTACAATTTTACACCTCGTCGAGTTTACACCGGGAGTATGGGTGTAAACCACCCGGTGTAAAAATGTACCTCCCCATTAAATAATCATTTCATTTTCTTATATATTGAATAACATTGTACTCATATCTTTGTCTTTCCTCTTGTCTTTGGAAAGAGAAAGTACATACCCATCAACTTTTATCATACAGAATGTGTTCTAATGTTTGTTTCTGCTAGATTGTTTTCTTCATCACATCATCCTTAGACCAACTGAGCACATAAGCTCATTTCTGTTTTTATCTCGTAACGTATTGAACCTCACCACAGATACATCCTTAAATCAGTCTAGATACACTTATCAGATACTTACTTTTCATTTCTTATTAACATTTCTACTCCAATGTTGTAGGTCAGAGATCTTACCTATTCACTAGGAGATCATATATTTTTATCTCATAGAAGATCATTGTTATCAGGTGATAAAATTTGTCTTTGGAAATTAAAAATTGTTTTCTTCATCACATCATCCTTAGACCAACTGAGCACATAAGCTCATTTCTGTTTTTATCTCGTGACGTATTGAACCTCACCACAGGTCAGAGATCTTACCTATTCACTAGGAGATTGTATATTTTTATCTCATAGAAGATCATTGTTATCAGGTAATAAAATTTGTCTTTGGAAGGAGAAAATTGTTTTCTTCATCACATCATCCTTAGACCAACTGAGCACATAAGCTCATTTCTGTTTTTATCTCGTAATATATTGAACCTCACCACAGGTCAGAGATCTTACCTATTCACTAGGAGATCGTATATTTTTATCTCATAGAAGATCATTGTTATCAGGTCAGAGATCTTACCTATTCACTAGGAGATCATATATTTTTATCTCATAGAAGATCATTGTTATCAGATCCTCATCACAGGTGACGATAAGGTGTTTGAAAACACCCATACATTTTCACAGTATGTATTGAAGAATTCACGGTGTCTGTAGTGGGTTCGCTCATATGAGCTTGTTGGGGGGGTGTCAGTGCAATCCCAGTAGGATCTGGGATAAGCATTGTGTCTGCATTTTCATCGGGACCTAATTGAACATTTTTGGTCTAGGTGTGTAGGATCAGCATGTCATTCCATATCATTCAGGATACTCTCATGGGAAAAAGTGATGAAGAAACACTTACAGCAGCTTCCGCTGTGTTATTAAGCTGTGATGTGTAATTGTAAGAGTTGGATTTGGCGGCTAACGGTTTGGTCTAGACATGAACAGCTCTGAACTTGTCAGTAATTTTCAAGAGAAGGAAACAGTGAAAGTATATTACCTTTTCTTGTGGCTCTAATTCTACAACCGTGCAGATTTGATTGGTGGGTGCTAAAGCTTCAACCAAGACATCTTGAGGTTGAGATATTGGTAGCTGAATAGGTGCCATCGGGATCTTTTTCAAGATTTGTGAGCTACAATATCAGAGTAGACTAGATGATTTGACTTACAGGATTGGTGATTACAGGGACCGACTCAATATCAACAACTCTTGTAAGCAGTTTATCAATCTGTAACACTACCTCCTTTTGCTGTTCAGCGGACAAAGACTTGATCCTGGGGCCTATCAAGCTAAGGAAAGTGTCAACTTGAGTGACGATTTGGTCCTTGTCAACTGCAGATTGAGAGTTGTTGACTGTTTTGATATCTTCACTAATCTTGATTGGTGGTGTTGGGTGTTGAGGCGGTCTGAGATCAAAATTGGGTGGGTGATTATGATTGATGTTGACATGAGAAAGCATCCATAACCCGTTCTTGAACGTAACCTTCAGATCGAATGGACAGTTGATTTTCAATGATTTGGATCCCTTTGATGGATCTTTGGCCAACTCAGGTAAGCCACTGCGGTGACACCTATATTTATAGATGTTCTTCTTGATGTCCAATGGACCAATTGAGATAAGATACCCATGATGTGGAGCGAATTCTTTGAGGCATTGTTTCATTGATGACTGTTGGCCAGGTAGTGAGATGGGGGGTGGGGCTGGTATATCAGTATAAAGCGTGACGGGTTCCATTGTTACAAGTGGTTGAAAAGGAATCAGATGAATTGAATAATAGGATCTGAGGCTGAGGAAGCGATTGTTAACAATTGATAAGGGCAGTGGTACAGTGGGCGGTGATGTGTAAAAACAGTTTGGTAGAGGGTGGTGAGAAGACGGTGAGAAGACGGTGAACTGGCAGTGAACTGGCAGTGAGTGGTGAGAATGGGTGGTGCGGTGAGTGGTGAGGATGATTGGTGCATTGAGTGGTGAGTGGTGAGAATGGGGGTGAGAAGACGATGTGGTGTGTGGTATGGTGGTGGTGAGATGGTGGTGAACTGGGTGGTGAGGTGTGTGCGTGATTTGGTGGGTGGGGTATGGAAACTTGTACTTAGTAGAATTTGTATCTCACTAGAGATGTATCTTCACATCTCAAGAAATCTCAAAGGACTTTTCGGACTCCTTTGGTCGGTACCGATTCCTTTATCTTTGGATACATTGGGTTCTTTCAGGTACATACAGGTGCAGAAGAGTGCCCTTAGGGTTAGGGTTAAAGTAAATGTTTCAATCAGGTATCAAGAAGAGTGATTTATGATGCTCAAGGAAATCACATTGTTCTATCAATTTTTAATCTATGAGATTTTCAAGAGTTGAAAAAGTGTTTAGCAGAGAATAACATTTTTCTCCACTTCAAATCCTTGCAGGCAAAGTTTATAAAACTTGTGATAATCAATACGAGGCAAATCTAAAGGAAAGAAATTTGTGAAGAAGGAACTGGAAATATATATATGTTATGGTTTTTTGATATAAGTTTAGTTTGATCATGACTTAATTGCAACATGAAACTTATGAAACTTGGATGTGAGAGTCAGGCTCACAGCTACTAAGGCTCTGTTCACTCAAGGAATTTTGGTGAAACTTTGTATTCTATGAAGAGGAGAAATCATGTTCTGTAAAGTTTGTTTGATATGTTGATTACAACCATTCTAGAGATTGTAAAATGCTTGTAAAATGGGATTTTTCATCACATTTCAAGTATCAACTCTAAGTCCATTCTTCAACACAGAAATCATGTTCAAATCATGTTCTGGGATTTCTTTTGACCATTTTCTTCCAAATGTTTTTTTGCAAATTGGACAAGTCCCACTTTACCATACAGATCTGGTCAATTTTGTGGCAAGTCATTTGCTATCATATTACAAACCCCTCAACAATTGTCTTCCACCCTCTTCCACTCCCAGTACTGTTCTTCTGACCACTGCTCAAATCAACCAAAATCCAAGATGCCTCAATATAAAGATAGCAGTAAAAAAGAAGTGGTCATTGAGCTAGTGAAAGAAAAGAAATCAAATTCCACATCAAAACCAAAATCAAAATCAAAACCAGCCTCCAGCAAGCGGGTCAAAGTTAAATACAAGAATACTGATGAAGCAATCAAAGTCAAAAAAAAACAGAAAAGATAAAGAAGATATTGCTTTAAGTGATCAATGAACTCATCAAGACTCTCTATCATATCAACAAGTTCAAGCATGAAACAGACACAAGAAAAGGTAATGATGGTGGCCTCAAGACCAATGCATGGAAGGAGGTATTGATCAATTACAATGATTGATTCAAATAAAAAGATATTTGTCTATATTGAAGAATTGTATTCAAAAAGGTAACAATATCCTTTACCTTTGTCTTTTCCTTTGCTTTGCTTTCTAGTCTCCTTTTACTTCCCTTTTTGCTCTGCCTTTCCAGATGGTGCAAAACTGACATGTTTGAGGCTGCTCAAAACCACATCCAATCAGTGTCAAATTAGGGATTGACAGCATCCAAGCCCAAAAAGACCTGTGTTTCATATCATCAACTCCCATTTGTCTTGCTTTAGTCCTGTCTTCACACTCACATTTGTCATGATTGTATTGGTATCATGCATAGTTAAAGTTGACTTATAAGGCTTTTGGCAAGATAATGGACACTTCTGGTGCTCCTGGGGTCAACATGATAATTGGTGAGGTTCACACCATCAAATACTGGTGGGATCATTGAATCAAAGTAGTAAGTACTGTGTCAAGCATTCCATTCATAGTTTATCAATCTAATATTTGCATGATCTGGGAAAAAAACTGATCCGAAACAATGGTTTTCTAGCATATGAAGGTGTATCCCAAATCATGGTGGAGAAGCACTTACAAGCCAAAGGTAACAAAGGTTCCAGAACTTAAAGCAAGAAGAACCTGTTGGCTTGCCTATAGCCAATGGTTCAAATGGGGACAAAGAAGGTAGATTCATCAAAGTATTTAAAGCTTGAGGGAATGCAAGGTGCCACCTCCTACACAAAAGAAGAACAGTGCTATAAAATACCTTTCAATTCTTTTCTTTTCTGTTCAATAGTTTTGATCATTTGATTCTTCTTTCTATGGTATCCTTTCCAATTTAATTGTCTCATTGTGTCTATTCTCATTATGAAGCCAGAAAGCACTAGCAATTTGTCTGCCAAACAGGTCTTAGCAGCTGAACTATAATATGATGACAATGAGACCCCAGAGAGGAACTTTGTATGCAACAAAAAGAGCCCAATCAATTCAGCACCCTTGACTTCAACTGCCAAGCGGTCACACACTACAGGAACAAAATTACACTGCCAGCATTAAAGAGGTTCCCAGATGGGAATATGGGTCCTAGTGATCACATTCCCATCCTTGCTATTGCCAAGATCAAATCCAAGCAACACTGTGATGAAAACAGGTTCATGTTGTGGTTGTTATGCACATTACAGTTATTTCGGATTTTTCATATGAGATAATGTCATAGTTCTACATAATCTTTTCTTTATTCATTATATATATATATAGTCATTAGATGTCTGTTTTGGTTTCTCTTTCTTCATCAAAACAATTTGTTATTATAGTCCAAATTAAAACACTCAGCTTGAGATATCTTTTCATGAGAATCCGGATTCAATAATTTCATAGTATAAGGAATTCTTAAATACAAGTCTGGGAATTACAAATACCAAATGCAAGCTCAAGCAACCATCACATCCAAAAAACAATGCAGCAAACAACCCAAACTTCAACACATTATCAAAGCAGCAAACAAGTTAAAATAGAATGATACCACATCATTTGTCTACTACATGGACCCAGCTTATGGATGGGAATGGTTGAATTATCAAGCTGGTATTCTAGAAGAGTATCAAGAGGTTCAAAAGTGGAAGGAGTCTACTGATGATCTCAACAGGATTTATTTCATCATATTGTATCTTTATCTTTTCCTTTTATTTCTTCTATTTAACGTATTTGAGGTTTTGTACCTTAGTGCTTGTGTGTTATGTAACAAGACATCCATATTGAAGCAATTGAACAGTTCAATTTTTGTTTCAAAGATGATACAAAATTAAGCAAGACAACAATACAGTTGACTCTGAGATAACCCATACCATTTTATGTAACCCAAAAACTATGGGTTATCTTAGAGTATGGGCTACCAGAAACCTCTGCAATAACCCATACCAACTAATTCATGGGTCATTGCAAAGATTTGTTGTGGAATGCAAGACAGCAGCTCTTTCATTGCATATAATTCAAGAAGAATGAGATAGTTATGACAAAAGTTGATTCAAAACGCTGGGCTGGACTAAAGTTTTGGAGCGGGCTGCACTAAATACACACAGAGCCTGCCAAAGAGCCCCCCATAGGCTTTGGCTTCATCAGAATCTTTGTGTCTGAGGTAGTTGGTGACAACAATGGCTGACTTAAGTAAATCAGAAAATGATGGAGGAGGACTTACCTGGTCCTCAGAGTGATCTGGAGCATGGGGTCTAGTGTTGCTGTTGCGTTTGAATTGAGATTATGATATGAGTGTGGAACTGTTGGAGTTGGAGACCTTCAAAGAGCTTTTTATATGTGTCTAAAAACTCTATGGTGCATTATTTGATGATTGACCATCTAGAAATGTTGAAGGAGTGTGTCTTTTGTTGTCCCTATGCCATAATGCTGCCAAACTGCAAGGCCTTGTACATTTTTGTTTCCAGGATTCCCAGAGATTGCCTCTCAAGAAATACACCATAGAATTCTTTGTGACAACTGATATTATTCTGTTTGATAAAATGGATACTTGGTGAAAACCAGTAGTTTTGGACCCAATTTTTTGGGTATTAGTGCTCTCAGAGGCAACTGTACCAAAAAAACCATGTATCATGCTGGGTTTTTTGAATCCAGCGTTGTCAGCTAGGGCATAAGCTACCTGAGTAACTTATCTCCTAGCTGACAGAAGTGGAATGTCATACCTTAAAAGAAAGGTTTAGGACACCCTAGAAGAACACATGAGCAAATGGCGCAATAATTCTTTTTACTTCGAATGAGTTTATTTCTATTCTAATTTCATTTTCTCACTTTCTCTTTTTCTAATTCTCTTTTTACATAAAGTCTTTCTACTATTTCGACAAACTATTAAATTAACCAATCCACCTGTAAAAGTGAATTGAATTAATTGGTAAAAGTTATGAACTCCTGAAATAAGTTCTTGTAACCAGTTGTATGATTCTTGAAAAGATTGGGAACCCTTTCAAGTCTCATTTCAGTTAAAAACCAATACGGTATCAACGCCTGGGAAACGTTGTTCCACTGGTCTGGGAACAGAATAAATTGATGGACGGATTACATAAAACCAGTTATGTGAAATCACTTAGGAGTTGATCACGGGTTCATGTATCATCTTATTTGAATTACTTTCATTTGTCATTGTGGCGGAAATCCGAGCTTAGAGGGAATAGTTACATCATCAATTATCTTTTGTGAGCGCTACTAAATCTTTGTTTTGTGTATAAAACCTGCTTGTCTTTCTGCTTGAGATGATTTCTTCTTCATTCCATTTTATCATTAGCAAAACCAATTAATTAGTTTATCAAAACTCAAACCGCGTCCATTTCACTCCAATTGCCTGTAAAGAATCATATTCTTTAAACCCAGTTGGTTAGTGATAGCCACGCGCTTTTTATTCTTCGCCATAAATCTTTTCCTGGTTTTGTAATTCTTGATATAGATTCA